TGTGAGTTCACTTTTCTGTGTATTCGTTCAGTCAGCTCTTGAGAGTAGTATTTTAGCGTTTAGCGTTGCTTCGTAAAGATGCCGTGAGGCGAAACGAAGTCCCAAAATATGACAAGAAGTGTCGCTCTATAGATGATGTCGAGTCGCGTACACGTGCAGATGCTGGGGAGCCATTCGTCATTCGTTTCAAACTGGATAAACAAAATGTGTCCTTCGAGGTTGGTTTGCTCAAATTTCAGACTTATAAGATACCTTTTTCAAAACCACGCACCGCGTTCATTTGATGTTCAGACAAATCTTTGGAATTGGTAGTCCTTTCCACAAGCATGGATTAGGTACTGCTTTCGCGAGCACGCACCCTCCCCTCGCGACAAGGCACCACCCTGCCTACTGATCACCGTAAAACCCAACTTTCTATGGTGAGAGTGTGGTGGTAAGGTGACTTCAACAAGTGGGAACTCGGTCCGACCACGCTCTTTCACCTGATCAACATACAACCTCGGTTCTGCACACGGTCTATATGGGCATTTCGGGCGGTTTCTTCTACTTTCTCTTCATTTTTTCGCACAACCCAGCATTTTCAAACGCGAGGCGTGCCTCTGAAGATAAGTGTCGGTGTGTATCACATATGGTGATGTACAGTCTACATGCGGTACTGCCTATAAACTGAGTTGTGGAGAAGGGAGGTGGAGGGCAGCCAATATAGATGTCAGTTTTTTTATCTTTCTAGGCGAGACTGGTACCGATTTCCCGGCCCAGAGGTATGACATGGGAGGTTGGTCCGGGTGGGAGTTGAACCAGGATTTGAACGCGGTGTGCGCCTGGTGAGCGGTGCGACTTGCTGCTGCAGCCGCAGTATCTTTTGATGAGATGTTGAGCTCAAAGATGAGCGTGACAGCGAATTCAAAGGCAGCTACTACACTACACTCCTGTTTGCTGCGGATATTAAGGCTTGTGAGGGGGAGCGGAGCTCGGAGTAGATCCGGCCGTTTCCACCGATTGTTCCCGCTTGTCTCCTTCAACAATTGATTAAGAACAGGCTGGCGCCGCAAAGCTAGTCTCCTCCCCGACCCCCAGCATCGCTGCTCGCAACTATACAATCTCCCGGTTACCACCCAGCTTCTGTCCGATTGTGGCTGACACAGACTACCTTTTCAGGACGAAATATTCGGTTCAGTGGATCAGTGCATCGATGAAAGTGACATGGTGTTGCTCAAGAGCGACGGATTTCCTACATATCATCTCGCAAATATAGTAGATGATCGAGAAATGCACATCTCTCACGTCATTCGCGGTATGGAATGGTTAAGCAGTACGGGTAAACATGTGCTTTTGTATAAGTAAGTGCAGTACAGTACACTTGAAAATGTTGTGAATCAATTTTCCATATACAGTGCGTTCGGATGGTCAGCACCGAAATGGCTTCATCTCCCTCTCATAACACGAGATGGCAAGAAGAAACTCTCCAAAAGGGATAAAGACGCATACGTGGACTTTTATGAGCAAGAACTGGGTGCATTGCCGACTGCTGTTTTAAACCTGTTGGTGCGTTGGAAACATCATTAGCTTACGATTATCATTTAGCGGTTTCTTAGTCATTATTTTCGCAGATTCGAAATGGTAGTGGTATTCGTGACTTCGACACCGCTCATCTCTACAGCCTCGAAGAAATGATCGCAAATTTCGATGAACACTGCATCGGAAGGCGTAATTTGCAGGTTATCGCGAGAAATCAGGCCTTGCTGCAGGGTATTCTGTTTTTGAACTTCGTTTTCCAGCTTGACCATGAGACCCTGGATAGATATGGCCGAATGGCTTTTCAAATGTCGGATTTTGAAACCGAACTGCTGCCTGCGCTACACAGGCTAATCAAGCAGGACCTGCCAAATATACCTGCTCCGGATGTTGCTTACCTGAAAATGGTATGACAGAATAGATCATTCCATTTGAAACTGAAAATTTGCTAATCGAATTCAGGTGACGAGTTTCTTGAAAGCTAATGAGGAAAACTTTGCTTTTCTGTCTACACTGACGAAAGGCGATTTCCGATGGTTCTTAACCAAACCTATGGCAGCTGAACGTCTTTTGTCGGTGTGCGATCGGCAAACAGCTCTCGCGGCTCTATCGTATCTGCAAGAGTGCGGTAGGACAATTGAGTCTCTTTTAAATAGTTGAATTGTCAGACTGCTACCACCTTACTCTCCTTTGCAACAAAAGGGTGGCACGTTTGCGCCGCGTTCATTTTGTAAGGTTCCAATAAGGTTTATGAGAAATGCAGTTAATCATGGCATCTTTGCCCATTCCTTGACTAATTTTATGATGCTATGGACAGAAAACAAACCACAATACTCACTGGTCTCAATATAACGCCTCTTGATCTCTGCATAGGCAAACAAGTACGAATATCGGCTGGAATTGTTGAGTGGGAGGGGCAAGGGATACTTTTCCGCCAGCGCAAAGTGGAGGGGCGCGCCAATAATGTCGTGCCCTGGCTCCACCTACTCAGCGAGTCCGCTTACTCCAGGAACGGTGTCTTCAAATAAGAAGTGGGGGGAGGGGGTGAGGAAATGTTTATACAACGGGCTTATCGGATTTTCATCGTTGCGGATTTATTGCGAGATCTCTACTGCACTTCCATAATTAGAGGCTATTGGTACATGCTAGTAGGCTCGCTATGGAGTTAGCTTAAAATCCGATAGGAAAAAATCATTCTCGTTTCTGTAAGTTCAAAGCGTTCACTGTTTAGTGGTGATTAATCATACCACACTCTACAGCTGGGTTTTCAGAGTCGCTTGATGCTGCTGCACTAAAAGTGGCTGCGGAACAGCATGGATGGGCATATACCAAGCTTCTTGCTATCATCCGAGTTACTTTGATCGACAATACGAAAGGACCTCCTGTCAAAGAGCTGGTGTCATTCTTTGGCCTGGATGAGTGCCGGAAACGATTCAAAGATATGATCGACTATCTCCATTCCTCTCCAGAAGCTGTTCTAACAGCAAATAAATAGTTTTTTCATGGCTAAATGACAGATTTGAGGCCGAAGTCACTGGAAGTTGGATAAACATAGAATGAATTGCTGTGCAAAAGGAGATTTCCAGGCCATTAATTGATCTGATTTTGATGAAACATGGTACATGATACTCTTCATGTGTACATAATAGTTTAGGACTAGGCCAAGGAGACGAACAAAAGAATCGTGATTCGCCGCTGCGCCGCACGCGACGATGGGCGCGGCGTTTTTCTAAACTCGTGTTAACCTGTCGGAGCACGGACTTCATGTAGACCCCGTCATCGTAGACATTCATGACTATTTTCGGTTCTGAATTGCCTGTTGTCGCCATCTACTACCTGGAACCATCGTCATTTGCGGGCGCGACGTCGCACGCGACGCAAACCAGCGCAGTGAATCACGATTCTCTTGTCACATACCCAGGCCAAGATGCCTATAGTCACTGCGAAAACGCAATGTCTCACATGCTAGTGTTTTTATCTGTTACTTCTATGGTTACCTGTATACTATATTTATTAGAACAATGAAATCAACAATAACAATTCACGATATATCACAATTTGAATGAAATCAAAAATTGAACCTAGCTAACTTTTGTTATCACAGCGATGTAGTTACCCTGTTCTTTCTCAATGCTGTCTATCCGACAGCCATCCACAGACCTCAAAAGCTCTTCCATTTCCCCTTCCGCGAAAACGTGGTAATACCTGAAAAAATTCAAAGTTTGCCAGGCCCAATTTTTTGCAAAAAAAAATAGGGTGCGCAACACATTCCGATACCTAAGAAAAGTTTCTCCTGTGTCGTCTATTCTCCATGGCACGAGCATATCTTGCTGAATGAAATCTTTCCCGTCATGGATTAATAGCCTATCCGGGTGTTGTGTATCAGTAATGGAGTCCTAAAAACATAACTATTCATAGAGATCTCTACTTTTCTGAGGCAACATAGTCACAACTGAGTTAGCTGTGCTCTAGGGATAAGGTTTTAGTGATCCGTTTGCCCTAGGAGGTTCAGCACACTGCCCAGCAGTGTTGAAACAGAAAGTTCATGAGGAATCAGACACGACGTGAAATGCAAGCAAACAGCCATGTATAGTCTACTTTGATACGGATGAAGAGGCTTGTCGGCGGGATGGGTTTGGCGCGGTGCCAAATCCGTTCTCCACCAGTTGAAGCAAGTGACAAGACTGGATCATATTGGTCGTATCACTCATTTTCTACTAATTGTTGTCGCATACCCGCTTCAACAACTGAGATAGAACGGGTTTGGCGCTGTGGCTAACTCACTAATACTGCCTTGACAGGTCATTCATCCGCAGCGAATTGGAGCATAGAATAAATGGAAGCGGATGGAAATCGTAGAAAACTTCAAGAAATGATGAAAGCAGATGCCAAAAATTCAATTCCCGAAAGCATCAGGAGGGAAGTTAATACTTAAGTCTAAAGCCTTCGCCGTTACCAATCCCTTTGTGGGCACGCACTCTATTTCCATCAGAATCGTAGTGGCTTATTGAATGCGATGCGGCCTATACAATGAACTACGCAAAGCAGCCGATGTCATTTTAATGCCCTTATCCTCCCAGACGAGTCTGACAACAGATTCCGAGGGAAGGAAAGTTTGGCTGACATGGCGGAAGTCGAACCGGGATTTGAACCCAGGACCGCACCACTTGTCAATAGACCATCCTGTTTCCAGGAGGGAAATTCGAAGTGAAAATAAGAATCTTCCCAGAGAAAGGGACCCTCTTATGGTTCTCAGGTTTCGATGCCTGATGGCTATCCTGAATAATTACGCAACCGAAATTCCCGGAATCCTCCTCTACTCTTGCTCAAGCCTTGTCGCTGACTCTATTCATCTTACTCATGCACTGAAACGAACCTTGTTCTCCCTCATCTTCGAATACTCAGAATTATTCTGATCCATTGACCAGACCGTTATGCACGCTCTGCCTCCTACCTTCAGTACCTGAAGTATCAAGACTTGTAGCGATCTTCGCAAAACAGGTCGAGAGTTTAGAACAGAGCCGAGAAATTCTAAGAAAACAATGACAAGATGTAATTCGAAAACGAAAAGCAGTACTATTCTGACAACTTGCCCTAAGTATTTCTCTGATCAGTCTTTGCCGCCGGGATAGCACTGCCATATGATGTAGAACAGCAATAGACAGAACTGCATCTGCTCCTTCACGAAAAGGGAGAAACAAACCATCAGCGCGAACAACCATACACCCCTAGAGTATTCAAAACGTCGAGGAAGGATTTTACAAGAATAAATAAATGTTAGGAAAATCCCAAATTTATGGTTTCCGTTCAGGCCTTGATTTAAAGGACGTTACCCGTGCCAAAAACCGGGTCACTACCACAAGTGAGAAAGCTTCCCGCAACCCCCGCAAAACTATGGATAAAGCCCTTGTCGTTATTGAAACCCTTTTTAGAATGCGGCACGCATTTTATTCCACTCAGAATCGCAGTGGCTCATTGAACACGATAGGCCGCATACAAAGACTCGAGGGGGGGGGGACCCAGCCGATGTGCAAGTACATACGCAGAACTAACAGTAAGAGAAAGCTGATTAGACTCCACCCACCACGACTTCGAATCTTTTAGACGTAAACTGTGAGAATGTTGCAACTATCGTGAGAAACTGTTTAGAGACTATATAGCAACATCCCTGGTGCTAGGGGTCAGTTATGATGCAGGAGATGAACACGACCTAGGATAAACTTCACTGACCTTTGCTCCAGCAATCTCGCACAGCATCTGGCTCATGTCGCAGCCAACCTAAAATTATTTGAATACACAAATAGAGACTTTCAATTACAAACCTGCAAGTCTACAACATATGACTCTCCAGTGAAGGAAAAGCGAAAAAACCATGAAGAACGTTCTGAGTAGGAACTTGGAGGAACCACAGGACGATTTTCCGGACCAGTTCGTTTCAAGCCAGCAGAACTATATCCCGCCCCGTTTCTGGCTCAAATCGTTTCTTCGCGTGTTCCAATGCTAATATCAACCAACGGTGAAAAAAAAAACGAAAAACACGGAGTCAAAACTGAAATCTTGACAGAAACCGCCTCTCAACTTTGGTGGGAGAGACAACTAGGAAGGCGAAAGTGTGAAGACCTAAAAGTCTGAGGGCCAGATTATTTGTATGAGGGAATATGCCTACGAATTGCTCGAGCGCGGGAATGTCTTTGAACGATTATGAATCCCTATGTAGTTGAAATATACAGAATCCGGGGTAACCCACCTTGCACAACCTGTCGTCCAAAACCAGATATTTCCCGTTACCGCAGCCAACATCGTATACTAGTGAATAGTCAGGCAACGAGTTCAAAAACCTACAAATCAAACTGCTCAGGAGAAGCTACGTCTATTTCAAAACTTTGTTTGAATAAAGTGAGCAGTTAACAGTAAAGAAAGCAGTTGGTTACCTCTTAACACCGGCCCAACTAGAAAATCTCGTCTCATCAAAATGGGACGCTATACTTTCGTATACGCCATTCACGTATAATCGTTCTATACGTTCGGCTGAAGTGTCATCGGATGGAACCGCCATTTCTCCTGTAACGTCAGGTAATACATCTCACAGAACAATCAGGAAATAAAAAAAGACTGCGTAAGGTCATTCTCGTTAGGTTGTTTGTGAGATTTCGGTAGAGGAAAGAAGAGTGAAGTTAGTCATATACGGAACAGATTTTAGGAAGAACGTAGTGTAGGGTTAAGTAAACAGCGTGCGTGTGTTATTCTGCCAGAAGCGGAGTAAGGAAAGATACATGGAAGGACTTCAAGGTTACCACCGCACTACTACTGAGGTACAAATAATCATTTCCAACCACTGGGTTGTTAGGACTGCGAGTCGGGGATACACGCAAAACATTCCTATTCCTCTCCGATTTGGACTACCTTTGCAAAATAGTCCAAGAAAATAGTAAGTACGACAGAATGATTGGAAAATATCTGGTCTGTAAAGTCTATTGTCATTGTCAGATCGCCTGAGTGGCAACAACGGGCTAGTGAGTCGAGAATGAGGTAGAGCTTCAAATTTGTTCCACAAAAACGAATAAGAGGTAATGGATAATATACCTCCCCTGTCCCAGTCACAGAACTCCTTGAATGGACACTGACAGCGTTCGTGTCGAGTCTTCCGTAATGTTATAGATACACGAAGTTGACGACGCATCACTCGATGTGTAACCGGATTGATATCGTGTTTCCGATTCACAATGCTGAAATGGGAAAACAGGGAGGATGACCTCTTTCTGGTCTGTTGGATATAGAGATCGGAGCAAGAGTGAGGATAAAGGATATAAGTAGGTCTAATCGAATCATTTAACAGCTAGGTAACCTACCCGTGCTTCCAGCGATACCTCGACTCCCCTTTTATCAAGCACAGTGATCGTCGCTTCAAAAGCACTGGGCATATTCGAGCCGAATTTGCTCCATCTTTGAATTCCATTACCACATCGGAGCACAAGCTGTAAGAATAAAAAGATCCAAGGATAAAGCTTACGGCGCTGATCAATCCCTCTTTATAGTCCGCACGCATTCTACTTCCACTCAACTCGTAATGATATTCTGAATCGGATTTTTACCTTTAAAATGATTTTCGGGGCCAATGATGTGTGGGTGCGTCCTTACCCTTGTAGATAAGTCGGATATCAATTAATCGACCCTGGAAGGATCAAAGGCCTGGTTGGCCAAGACGGAAATCAGCACAAGACTCGATCCTAGGACCGTGTGACCTTTTGCATTACTACACCCCCACCGTGTATGCTTCAAACAAGGTCTCAATACTAAATATGCCTGTAGCATTCAGACTATATGCTCAGAATGTTCTAACCATAGTAGTCGAAGGTTAATAAGTAACAAAGTGACAGAAAGCAAACACATTGCGCCTGACGTAAAGTATAAGGGAAAGAAATTATTTCAATCAGGAATTCAATTCAAAACCACAACAAAATATCAAAGATCGGCTTGGGCGGGGGAGGGAGGTAGAGGGCGTGCCTCTTATCACTTATTTATCGGCATGGACTTGGGGGGGGGGGGGACTTTTTTCCCTAAAAAGAGCTCTCGAGACTATGAACGGTACTCAAAAAGCTATTGGCAGTCCTTTATTGGGGAAACTAAGAGTTCTTGAAAGCTTATACAGTCATGTGATGGACCCCTTTACCCTTTCGCAGTATGCAAGAGTTTACAGGCCTCATGAAAGAGGTTGTGCAGCGAGTGTCCTATCGTGCAGCTTCACAGGAATCAGAAGGTCTCATCAAGGCGAGAAAATCGAAAGTATTAGCGAGCTAAGAAAAACCCTCCGCAACTGAACAGCGGCAGAACTCGAAGCGGAACAATAGAGAGAGAGGGAAGCCGAGGACTGGCGATGAAAGGAATTTTCCGATCTTATATCAGCGAGGCAGTGATAGTAAATGGTGCTAAAAACAATATGCGAAGGGTGGAGGGGGGTAGTGGGCCCACCTCAAACAAACGATGGAGGTCGTGGCGGGGAGAGGGTGCGGCCGTCATAATGCGTTATGTGATGGGGGGTGAGAGGGAATACCTTGACCAGGCTCATAAACGTTGACTGTAACCTAAAAAATGACGATGGAAGGGATGAGCGCATAGGATAGTCATATGTGGTACCTGGTCTGGTCGAAAGTGAAGAAGGCCTTCGTTAAGTATACTATGCCATCTTAGTCTTGCAATTTGATCAGGAATTGAATCAGTAGGCTTAAAAGCACAGCATTAGCACTGTAGTCGAACTCGTATCCGTAATGAACCACAGCTCGATGTTTCAGGGACTTTGCTGGAATAAGAACCATAGGGTAAGGATAGTTTGAAGAGAGCTAATATCATCCCACCACGTCCTGAGTTGAGGACCATGTTCAGAAGCTCTTCCTCCTGTTCCGCTGTGACATAGTCATCCACTAGTACAAGATCATTTGGAAGTGGCGGACCGTCAGGAGACCCTCCTCTGGGCACTGAATATTGACGTTCAACGAAATGGGTTTCGAACTACTTCCAAGAAAAAAAAAACGCGAATAAAGCAAGAAATTCGCAACGGCATATGCTATTTTGGCGCAGTTCGGCGTCGGGGGGAGGGCACTTAACACTTTCGCTGCTTCACCAGTTTTGGTTTACTGTCTCACTCGGCTGAAACTTGTAGTGAAGCTGGAGCTCTCGAGCCACCATGGTAAACGGCATTTGTAGGTCATTTCACTGCTTTACAAGAGTTTATAGGTGGCTCCTACAAACTTTGACTGGTATCATTTCTTAGCTTCACAGGAGCGAAAGTGCGAAATGCCCCCACCCTTCTTCGCGGAACTGCACTATTATTCTTCTAATTCTGATCTCACTAGTATAAAAAGGAGTATCAGCAAAAGTGAAAAGAAAGGGCACTATTCACCCTTTACTGCCCCAATCATCCGAAATCAGGCCAGTTTTTGACCGACTTTTTTCTCCGTGGGCAGAATTGGCTAAAATTTGCCTCCTGGGGTAGTTTGACTTCTTCCTGAACATAAAAATCTCACCCGCTCGACCCGAAACTTCCTGGCGCCTGCGTACAGGCAGCGGCGCCAAAACACCCCAAATCACCGGCTCCTGTGGCGCGAGGCGCTAGGAGGTTTTGGGCTGAGCGATGTGATATTCGTATTCAGGAGGTCAAATTATCTCAGGAGACAACATTTGAGCCAAATCTGTCCACGGAGAAAAAAGTCGGTCAAAACAGGCTCGATTCCAGATGATTGGGGTAGTAAAGGGTAAATAGTGCGAAAGAAAGATTAAAACAGGAAATGAGAAGAAAACTGACAAGCAAAAGAAAACGAGCCTTAATGAAACAATTATGGTAGAAAATATTTACATTGTTTCACGTAAGATATCAAGAAGGGCTGATGAGAGACCTTGAGCTGCGATGGCACGACTCCATTCAAACTTTCTCGAGCGGCAGAAGCTCGTTCTTTTGACGAGAAGCTGACAAAGGAGTAAGACCTGAATGAACACTGAAATAGAAACTCTCTTCCTCCCTAAGGAAATTACTGTCGATGTAAAATTTACTCACCGCTTATTAGGATAGACAGTGAAGGAAGCGTCGGGATCGATGGGAAGAAAAATATCCTCCAGTTCTTCAAGAGAAACCCCACACAGAACGCTACTGTTGCTTACGAAAAGATGCTAAAGTTAGTTGTGATACTAAGGGTAGAAACAGGAAATTCAAAAGAATACACCTCAGTGGCTTCGTCGGAAATCTCTACGTCGGGATCGTGACGCCTCAGCTGTTCCCAACTTTTATGAGTTTTCCTAAGAAGTTTTGATCCATCTAGCTTGCAGCCTAATGGTCTTCCTTTAGAAGCATTGTAATCTGTAAATGATGCTACGAGAACAATGCTGAGAATTCGAAATATGAAAAACTTACACATAATCCCTGATAAGGCCCTCCCAGTCCGCAACAACAGAACTGAAGCACCATTTTAAAAAACAGACGGCTTTGCGCGACAACTCGTCCGCACAAGGGACACCCATGGACCTCGGGTGCAGCAAGGGTGCGCAGCAATTACCCTGCTTGGTGGTGCATATGCGACAAGAAAATCGTAATCCGCCGCACAGGAAGGTGTCGCGTGCGACGTCGCTCCCGCAAATGGCGGTTTCAACCGTCCTTGTTCCCAGCGGATGAGGAGGCGTTTCAGTGATGCTGGGTTTGGCGTGCTGCCAGACCGTTTTGTAACATTAGTTGAAGGGGGTAAGCGACAAAAAATGGTTGAAACCAGTGGGCGCCGCGCCAAACGCAGCCGCGCGGACACATCCCAGCGTTCGCAGCGAACCAGACTACAATTATAACTTGGGGCTAGTCGGTTGAGAGGGGCATTGCCTAAAGACACATGGGACGCTCACACACATTGAGGTGCATGTGACTATCAGTCCATCAGCTGTCGATGTGTCAGCATATTAAATACTATCATGATACTCCGCCACAGCCTTCTGGAGGAGTGGATATCGAGAGATTCTGCCACGCGACCGTGAGTGGGTACCTGAGTTCAGCGAGATAGTTGATTTCTCCGCCACTGTAGACCACCCTGTTGAGCTCCGCCCGAACCGGGTAATGGAGATTCAGGTCAGGTGACCTACTTGGATATAAATCTTCTTAAGTACTCAGCTCCCTTCCATTCCAAGTAGGCAAGAGTTTTCCCAACGCCCTCTGATTCCATGTGGTGTCACCCAATCCTGTAGCAGTACAAAGTTTCCAAGAAGGTACGGGCGACGACATGTGGGGAGGATATTCTTCTCGAGTTGCTCGATGTAACCGCCAGCGCTCACCTTCAGTCCGGGTCCACGAAGAAAATATTGGTCTTTCCATTCCAGGTACCTTCCGGTCCATACCATCAACGCGCTCCTTGACGAGCGACTGCAGGTGAAGATGATGTCCTAGACCGTAGCGACGTTGTCGGAGCTGCTCGATGTTGGAGGTCATCCAGATCGAGAGTACTGGTCTCCAGGTAGCTATCCATGGGTGACTCCACACTAGAAGTTTCGCAGCTGTTCGGAGGTGACATGAATTCCAAATGTCCTCTCCAGTCAGGCTGCGTCAAAATTATTTCTGAATGTTAAGTGGTGTTGTGTTGAGAAAAATGATGCTCTGAAATGATTTGCAGAAATTCAACAGGATTCTCCGAAACCCAACTGCACAGACCTATTAGTGAACTTTACACGTTCCTTCACCTTCCATCAATGTGATTAATTTAGAACGAACGCTCATTCAATGACCACCACAACTTTGAAGGTATGGCGCATCCTAAGTGGTTCAGTGAAAGCTGAGCATTCTTTGAAATCTTCTTGGAACCACTCCTCCGCAGGCATTCAAAGATGCGCGGAGGCGTCGCAACCTGAATTTCCGTCGCATAGAAAAAGCTCGAAAATCGCTTTTGACTGCTCCCGGAATAGAACTTGAGGTGTGACGCACAATGCCTGTATAAAAACTTGTGGAATCCAACTTCAGGTCATTGCCCAGTTGTTCAAAGTATAGAGACCATTTTTAATCTCGTATGTTTATACAGGATGCGCCACGCACATAACTTCCGTTCGGAATCGCTTCGCAATTCTTGGTGTCTCTTTGAGCACTGGGTGAGGGGATGGGTGGCGGGGAGACAAATATGGACCCAGTTAATCGGGTGAGCGTTCACGGCGGATTGTTCAACGACGCTCTCTGTATCTTTGTCAGCTGGATTCAATCTCAGAACTTCAATGAGCACATATTGTTTTGACATTTTGGGTGAATGTACCTACGGCCCGTAAGTAAACCCTCTCTCCTGTAAGCTCTCTCCCCTCTTCCACCAATTTTATATCGTTTCAACAAAAGGCCTGGAGAACGGCTTATCAGCAGTGTCACATTCATACAGCTGACAACGCTATACCGGTCGCAATGATGGGACTGTACGTCTTGCCAGGCGTATAATTCCTCTCTTTCTTAGATAATTTTATCGTGGGAACTGCCTTTAAGAGCAATGACGGCACCTGCAGCGCACGCTACCCGGGTGTCAAGCTCTGAATCAGCTCCGACCTGAGCCGACCGAGTCCTTTCACGGCCGCTAGTTGGTTCACTTTCACTACTTTTCATCCAGACATTACCTCTTATTTAGAAACCGCCAAAATACTTCCGAGTTCCTGTCCATCTGGACCATGCTTAACTTGCGCCAGCGTTGGGATGAAATTCGTACCTAAGCTGCCCAGCAAGTCATTGTTAAGACCAGAGTCTATTCAAAGTGTCGTCAAATGGAAGTGAGAATTGTGGCGCATCTCTTGTTCTGTCAGCTCAATCATAGCATCTTAAGATATTCTTCGGTATACAAGAGAAATTGTTTTTAATCACTTCTTTTGATTTGTCGTGCGAGGGCTAAAGCATGTCCAGATGTTCCTTTCTCTAGGCCTTTTTTTTGTTACGCTACCTCTGTTCTTCTCGAAATCTTGAAATTCTAGAAGTCCATTTATTGTCAGCGTGGTAGCCACGCCATACCATGGTAATCCTTACCATTCCGCCCTGACAAGGACCTCGAAGGGAAATTGTGCACCTGTCTCTGCTGATTCTGGCCCTTGGCATTTTCGAGGTGAATGTGTGCGCAGCTGCAGTAGCGAGCCATCTTCTTCGCTCAGAAATGCACGGGGACGGGGATAAAGAGTAGGTAACCGGGTGAAGTTTATTCTGCCCGCCGGCCACATGCCTAATAATAGTCAAACGCGCTACTTGTCTGCGGAGTCCGAAACAGAACTCGGGTATCGTTCTCATCGAGCACGCCTTTTCTTCTCTGTGTGACGTATGAGCTATCACCGGCATGGGGTCCCAAATACGGCATTTCGGACGGCTCTTCTGCTTTTGCTTTACTATTCACTTACTCAGTACATGTCCCTCGTATTTGAGCTCCATTTCTTACCAGTTATGGTCGCGGGCTTTAAATCGGCAGCTATTTTCGGAACTGCTCATTATCCTCTAATTTTTACCGTCCTCGTCGGGGCGACAGAGCCCCCATCCACTTCTCTATCTGTGAGAGACTTTATGAAAGGCAGTTGGCACGATGGTTTCCTACTTAGCCTAAAATGCTAGTAGGGCGCTGTATAGTGGGGAAATGGCGAAAGAACGGAGTGAAACGGTCAAAATCCTGCGAAGAAAAGCCTCCGTTCTCAGTGACTTGAAAATCGATTTCGGACGAGTTTCCCGTAGGCATCTTGCCAATCACCGCTACCGAAGATACGGCTGCATATGTGTACCCATATATGCATGCAGCATCACGGCCGCTTCATACCAATCCCTTCGCTTCATAATTTGCTTAGCAAATGAATGAATACGAGGAACGGTCGTCCATTTGTGGGCGGGCGGGCGTGGCGGGCGTTTGGGACGTAAAGTTGTGGCTTGATAGGGCCCTTATAAGGGCACCTTCCTCGGGGAAACCGCTATGCAGCGCCTGCCCAGGGTCGCGGAATTCTATCCTGCCAGGAGTATTGATCCTAGTCGTCTTGGGGGATTTATCGTGCCAACTGCCTTTAAAGGCAAAGCCCGCGATCAGCCATCTCAGATAGTGGATTAGGGGTTCGCATATAGAAGATAAGGCAACTCGATAGTGAAGAAAAAAGCAGAAAAAAACATGCCAACCGCCCTAGAAAGAATCTCGTTTCTATCCCAGTTTGTAGCGCCCAATTAACTCCATCTCCAACATTACTTCACTCACTCCGCACAGCTGGCTCCTTTGATAAGAAGTGCACAGCTGTGCTCTTACGCCGTGACAAAGTAAAGATTTTGCATGACTTGTTCGTCCTGCGCTGATTCGTTAGGAGGTGTCACTGAAAACCTTACATTGCGTTCCCCCTCCGCTTAACGATTTTTTTGCTACAAGTACCGGTACAAGTTGTACGTCGTTACGACCACCACTAGCCTCCGAGCCGTATTTTTACTTCTATACCTGATCGCGGACGGTCTCTTTGAATCTTCACTTGACTCAGTGTACCAAAAGGTAACAGAAATAATTATCGAAAAAAAAAACTCTAGGTGTGGTGCTGGGAAGCCGGTATTTCATCTGCAAATCCACAGAGATGCATCACTATGCTGGCGCGAAAGGTGTCTGTAGACACAAGCTCTGCAGCCGGGGCGGGCCCATCAGAGAACTGTTTTCTGCTCCGTGCATATTCTAAACTTCTAATTGGCGTTTCCATACTTTTTGTTGTAAGTCACAGAGCTCACCACAGGCATGATAAAGCTATGGCTAATGCCAACGACACGAAATTAATAATCGATAGTGTTATATCTTGTAAACTAGAGGTATGAGTTTAGTTATATAACTCTTTTACAATTTAGAGCGACCCGCGAGGATTAAAAATCAATTTCTAGCATGGAACATTAGCGGCAATTAGAAAGAAGGTGCATCTTGTACCCACGGGTGCATCTTGTACTGCAAAAATAGAAGGGTAATTAGAAGTTAATCAGCCGCAAGAACCCAAGGAAACTCCTTCTGCATCACACGAAAAATAATATCAAAAATTCAGGTGAAAGTTACAAAGTTAATAAAGGGAGATTACTACGTTTTTCGGATCTTTAGCGCATTATGTACACTCTTTGCTCCCTTACACGCAGTAGGGGTGACATCTGAAACGCAGCCGCCTCCGCGCTCAGTTGACGCACACAGTCACGCCTACCGCATCTCAGAGGTTTGGAACGTACTTGGCCCTCTACCCATGTAGTCATAGCGCTGACCCCCAGGATTTGCCTGTTGTATGAATTTTACACGGAATTGCAGAGGCATTCGCAAAAGTATTTCCCTATGTAGCCATAACGACCAGCCAGTTTTTAGGACAAGTCTTTGTCCTGTCGGACAGGTCCGGTGGCAATCAATCAAATTCGGCAAAGGTTTAACTCGCTGGACGAGTGCAGCGACGTGGCTAATAGAGGGAAACGGAGACGATGATTTGCATTGCTGCCTTCTACTTCAAGACAGTCCCCGCGCTCAAGTAATTAATTGCTCAAGAGGTGGGGGGGAAGTGTTCAGCATGAAACAGCCGTGAAACGTGGTGTCATAGCGATTGGAAATAATTCTCCCGAGGCCAAGTATGACCCTTTCCTTCAACAGCTAAAGTACCATCTCCCTCTCTCCCTCCCTCAGCAGCTAGAATATAACCCTATGATGGGTTTTGCGGCCCTGCGCCCAAGCAGTGTAGGTGCCCTTCCAAGACAAGTAGTTTGGCGCCCAGGCTCCCCCCACTTTCGCGGCTTCTCAGTAAATAACGAAGGCGCTATGGCCCTCAGAAGTGGCATTTTTGACATCCAGTGTCCAGCCCACCGAAACCCAAGGGCAAATTCTGTTCCAATTTCAGTTGTTATCCCGTGTTTTTCTTTTTTCTCACTGTTACATAGTATCTAGCATTGAAGCAGCGTTAGTGACTCCAATCGCTTGTTGCTGGATAAACGAGGCAGCGTCCGGAATCAAAATAAAAAGAGCAGGTCTGGGAAAACTCACCCAACGATGCTGTCAGGTCCCTGACACACCATGTTCTCCATGATTTTTTTTGCTTTTTTCTCTCCCTGAGAGTTTTTCCCTGAGTGAGAGTACAGCGACTATGGGTTTGTTCCCAAATGCCATTATCCACAGTACACAATCGCATGGTTTGTCTTTAAGCAGTACGTATGGACAGCTTGCCAAGTTTAGCAAAGAAAGTTGAAAGTGCACTTCGAAAAGTTGCATGTAAGATCTTTCATTCATTTTGCATCTATACCCAGTTTACAACGTCCAAACATGAACCTTCCCACAAGATCATTTCTTCTTTGTTCAGAACTGGGAGTCAGAAGTTCGCAGTATCCCTTGATACTGGTTTTAGACAAATCTCAAAACATCCGTCGACCACAAACAGATTTCCCTTTTTTCCTTTCTTTCTTGTTTTCTTACGTGCCAATACTCAGCCAAGCGTCGCGTCGTTAAAGTGAATCCAGCAAGAGAAATTCTGATTGGCATATGCCTTGCGAAAGGCTTTAACCTTGGAGCATCTTTAGTGAAGGGTACCCCAGTTTGCTTTCTTGTACAGTCCTCATTTACTACGGGCGTTTGCAAACTGAGTGAAAGTACTGTATTTGTGTACACATACTGTACAGAGTATAATTGAAAAAATAACACTGAAAAATAAAATGAAATATAGAATAAAAATATAAGAAACGGTGGAAATACTGCTGAATCTATGCAGAAGGGATCTGTGTACAGGCAAAATAGAACCCTAGTCTTCAATATAACGATAACAACGTAGAAACATTCGCATCATGTAGTTTTTCCCCTATGACTAGCTTCCCACTTTGCACCGAAACTTTCGGCTCGTCGGGCTGTACAGAAGGATGCCCGGGCTCTACAGGACTTTCAAATCAACTCGACCTCGTTTTTGCCATCTATAGCTGCAGAAAAAAATACTTGAAACAAGCCGAAAAAATCGGAATATCAAGTTGGTACTAAATTTTCTTTGAGTGGGGCACCTAAGATGTAGATAAAGTATGCTTGGAAGGACTGCTTTCAGATCAGTAAAAAATGACCCTGAGCAAACACGGAAGTACGTGAGGTCTAGGTTCCGGCACCACTGCCAGCATCCGGATGACAAAATGACCGAGTAAAAGCCTTCACCTCAACCTCATCAGGCATCTTTGAGATGACTCGAAGCATGAGTCAAAGGAGGAAAGAAGACCATCAACACGACTGGACAGTTCCATGCATTTTAAGGAATTTGAAGAGAATACTAGTGGAGGCTCCTGAAGCTCCTGTTGAGCCGATTTCAGAAAAGCAAACCGAAGTCAAAGCGATAAGTAGTCTTTCTTGTTGTATTCCCGCTACCTGCTTACCTTTCTGCTGAGTACCAGCTTCAGATCTATGAAAAAAACGCGATTTTATGGCCTGTTCCAAATTTCTTTGAACGGAAAAAACGCGATTTTATGGCCTGTTTCAAGTTTTTTTTAACGCAGGTGTACATCTTATCAAAGGAGGCTGCGCAGCTGGTGTAGCGGCGAGCGGCTACGCTTACCAGGCACGGCCTCAGGCGATCAAATTCTGGATAAGCTTCTCACCAGGTGTTCCAACCCTTCGGGCCGAAAAACTAGCACTGGATACATTTGGGATGATAAAACACTGACCTGTGGTACCGCCTTTTAGTAAATTGCGGTCAAGATATCTTTCCAATTCTGAATAGAAGTAGAACGCGTGTTGTATCTTAGGGGGTCTGGTCAACAATGGAAGGTTCATCCTGTTTGTGTCTCACCAAAGTGCCTGGGAGGCTCACTAGCGACTGTCGAATCATATCCGAAGGATGAACCTCTCAACTGGAAGCTTTCAGTGGGTGAGCAACGAACTATCTGGTGTTGGGATAGACGCTCTGAAGCTCTAGGCTGATAAAGCTTCATCAGAACACCAGATTGCAATACTTCAGAATCACAAACCTTGGCATTGTATCAGTCATAAGGTGCTTCGCTCCAACTTCGCATTTTAGTAACACTTTAGTTGGTTACGTCGCAATAGGTCAGGGCGGTAGCAGTAGGGGTAGCTGCTCCGGCTGCCTTGCTCCACCAATGGCAATCGATCGGTCGGTGATCAATGGGGTAACAACCAGTGGTGGAAATGCCGTGGCTGGGTTTGTTCCATCCCTCTTGGAAACGCTCCGACTGATTGCGATGCCTTCAACTGTGCATTACAGCGATTTCA